ACCGACAGGAGGGGAGTGACGTGAGACACACCAGACGGAGCAGGACGGGGTGGGAGGTGAGCACGGGCTACCGGGGGAGTGGGAACCGGAAACACAGGAGGGGAAACTGGGAGACCTCGGTCGGGAAAGTGGTGGTAAATGGAGACAGGCTCGTCGAAAGTGGCGTCACAGGAGTGAAAGAAGAAATGAGACGGCGGGTGGACGCAGGACTCGGGGAGGACGTTCCACCCGGAGGGGAAGCAGTGTCCAGCGTAAACAGGCCAAACACCGGGTCCCGGGGGAACGTCGCAAGGGGGGAACCTGAGGTGGCCTCGGTACAGATAGTGCACTGCTCGTGTCCCGGGAACGTAGTGGTGACACCGAGGTCCTGAAGACAGCCCACACCAACTAAGTTCCGGGAGAACGAAGGGATGTGCGGGCCTGTAAGGGAGGTGAGTAGCGAGATTAGCGATAGTGGGGAAAGCGAAAAGATTGGGGAATAGCATGGGGAGGATCAAGTGGCCAGCAGAGGCAGAGGCAGGTGTGGAGTAGCGCGCAACTACTGCATCTAGGAAATCCTTGGCGTTCACGACACCAGTGAAGCGCGGACGCTCAGACAGGGGAAGCGCATGACTAATGTCGCGCTGCCCTATGGCATCGCGAGAGTCCCAAACAGCGCGAGCAAGCGCAGCAGCAGCAAAGGCCTCACTCTCAGCAGTGGTGGGGTCAACAGGGAGGGGATCAGGCGCGGAGGGGCGCGGAAGCAAGCCATCAATATGCATAGTTAGGGAGTGCCCATCCTGGCGCTGACCTGTCAGGTGATGGCGGAGATCGACAAGCCAGGCGCCGAAGTCAATGGCGTGCCCCACCGCGTCCAGGCGAAGCACAGCGTCCATCATCGTACAACCTCAGCGACACAGCGTCATGGTGGCACAGCGTTACAGCGACACAACGCCACGGTGAGCGCGAAGGGCCGGCAAGCGCAAAGGGCTGGCGAGGCGCCCGGTGGGCCGAGCGGGTGCGCGAGGGGCCGGCTAGGCATGAGGGGCCGGATAGGCACGAAGGGGCCGACTAGGCGCGAGGGGCCGGCTAGGCGTGAGGGGCCGACGGGGCGCTAGGGGGCCGGCACGGCGCACTAGGGGCCGGTGGGGGAAGCGAGGGGCCGGCGAGGTGCGCGAGGGGCCAGCGGGCATGCTAGGGGCCAGCGCGGCGTTGAAGGGGTGGCACGCACGATCTGAGGCGAGTACGCTAGGGGCAGCGGTCTCGCTAGGGGCCGGCGGTACTAGAGGCCTGCAGGTGTGCTAGGGGCCGGCGGGGCGGTAGGCTAGGGCTAGGGGCGGAAGCGGGTGGGCGGACCTAACCTACGCGCCAGCACGCGGACGGCACGGACGGCATGGACGGCAGCGGCCAGCGCCCGAACTTAGCGCTGGCCAGCACGCCCGCATGCAGCCAGCGCGCCACACGGGGCGGAATGCTCCTGGGCTCTGCTGCTGAAGCCCCGCCCCCTTCCCCTGCGTCCCCTCTTCCTTGCCACAGCCGACGGCTGACTCGCGCCGGCCGTCCCACCGTCGCGGAGCTCGTCCACGCCGTCGAGTGCTGCGAGCTCCGCCGCCGCCGCAGCTGTCGTCGAAGCCGCCGCCGCCGCAGCTGGTGTCGCTGGCCACGCCGCCGCACGCCGCCGCCACTGTTGACGCTGCCGCCGTCGCCGCCGTTGCAGCCGCTGCCCTCGCTGTGGACGTCGCCGCCTCACATGCCGAAGGGTTGACCATGTTGGAGTAGCTGTCGTTGCTGCTGAGTATGGGGGTGCTAGGCTTAGGGGGTGTGTGGCTTAGTGTGCTGTGTGTGTGGTGGGCTTCCCACTACCAAGCCTAGGGGATGTGTTAAATTATATTTTATATATATAATTGTAGGCGTGGTAGGTGTTACTGGATCCTACTGTAAAGGGTACAACCTCCATTCTTGTATCCCTCTCTCTTCTTATCTCATCCTCTTCTCTCTCGATACTTTTCCCTAGCCTAAAAACTCACGCCATTCTATGGCTTCTTTAGCTACTTATTTTTTTTGGGATCCAGTAACATAGAATTTAACAGTTGGGTGAAAAAATAATAAAAAAATATTTTTGTCATTCCGTAAGAATCGTCAAATACACTGCACAGGTGTATAATAATATACATGAGAAATTGTTTATCACACCTGCTTTTTTTAGCAGACCTGAACAATAATAACATTTTTTTGTTTGCTTAGACATTGGTTTCTCATGGACAACCCAGGGTTTCTCATTGGTTTCTCATGGACAACCCTCACTTTGAATATAACCTTCTTTCGAACAGGTACAAAGATGTATGAAACTGTCAACATATATATGTTAACACAAAGTGCTGTATGTATGTGTGTAGGCTAGGTAGGTGTACTGCAAAGTACTGGTTTCTACTGTAGAGAGGACAAACCCCTTCTTGTACCTCTCTCTCTTGGATGGGGGGGAAGTCAAAAGAGAGATTGAACTCCCTTCCAGTTCCATGCAATCTCTTCTCTCTTGACCTCCCTTCTTGCATGGCGGGGAAGTCAAAGAGGAGAGACTAATCAATACAGTTTGTGAATTAAAAAAAAAAATATTGAACTCATCACTTCCAGTTCAAATGATAGCACTCACAGAGCGTGTCAAGAACCGTATGTGAAATGATAAGTACAATCCATATTTTGAGAAACACAAAATGCATTGCACGAAAGGAAAAAAAAAAAAAAAAAAAAAAAAAAAAAAAAAAAAAAAAAAAAAAAACCCAGCAAAACGTGTAGCAGCAAAACATGGAACACAAAGAAAGCAATTAACAACAATTAACAAAATTGCAACCGCCTCCCGTAAAAGTCCACGGTCCAAAATTACTAGCATCTTCCAAAAAAGGACTGAACCACGAAGAAGAAAAAAGAAGAATAGAAGAGAAGAGGAGAAAGATCTCAGAGTAGAAAAGATAAACTAGAATGAGACATACAGGTTGATTTTGTGCAAGTGTTGTACCCTCTAAGAGCATGCACCTATCTAGCCTAATATAACATATACAAATATTTTTGACACACTCCCTAGGCTAGATGAGGGGCAGTGCCTGGAGGTCGACACACAGCTCTGGGTGGCACTACTAGTCCAACCTCTAAGGCAAGGGTCCGGAGACCAGTCAGCAAGAGAACGAACAAGACTCGCAAACCAGGGCGGCACTACTAGTCCATCCCCTCTCGCTGACTCAAGCCTCGAGCCACGTAGCGCGCCTTGAACAGAGGCGGCTCTCCAGGAGGGCGCTTCACCTTGAAGAGCCACCCGCCATCAACTAGTTTCACCCCAGGTGGGGGAACTGCGTCGACGTACAGTAGGTGCCAGTGGATCTCCAAGATGCCATGTCCGCGTCCATGGCAGCTATCCACTGAGAGGCCCAGAGTCCCAAGGTCGCCTCAGCGTAAGTGCGAGGGGTCGGGATGTCAAAGGCGTCAGGGTCACCCTCAGGTGCTAGCAGCATGGAACAGAGATGGGGAGCAGCCTCGGACAGGAAAGCAAGCTCGTATTGCCTGTCCTCTAGGACGTCATTGCCAAGGGCAGGAGCACCCCCGACGGACGGAGGACGGACAGGGTCAGCGACCAGAGCGGTGGCGTAGTCAAAGCGGCGGGTAGAGGCGAAGTCAGCGACAGTAGCGACAAGAGCGTCAAGATAGGAGACAAGAATAGAAGGGTCGGTAACAAGGGAGGCAAGGACCTGAGAAACAAGAGGACGAACAGCCCGAAGGTATTCAGACTGAGGGGGATGCGCGACAGCGAGCGACGACGGAGGGGGAGACGGGAGGAGGGGAGGACGAGACACATGGGAAGGAAGAAACCTTGGATGAGAACGCTGAACAGGAGAGACAGGACGAGCACGAAAGGGACGGCGTGACCAGACGTGAGACGGAGGCGTCGGGTCAGGGGACAGAGGAGGAGACACAATGGAGGAACGAGGGGGGAAACGGGCCGGGGACGAGTCTGGCGGAGGAAACACAGGACCGTGGACAGGAAGGGGAGAAGGAGGGGGGGGAGGCGCAGGAGAGCGGTCAGGGGAGGGAAGGCCAAGCAGGCGAAGGGCGGACACCGGCACCAACTGCTGCTATTGCTGCTCGATGCCGACACCGGAACCGCCAGCTGCACCACGGCAACCATCGGAACACTCCACTCGAGCACCCCCAGAGCAAGAACCCTCTCCAGCACTGGTGCCACCCTCAAGCCCACGGAGACAAGCCACGACAGGAACCCTAGGATTAGCACCCTCTTCAATGCCGGCACCCCTAGGGTCCACGAACAGCGGATGCTGCTGCGACGGCGGCAGCTGCTGCGGCGGCGACGATTACTGCTGCGGCGGCGGGGACTGCGACGACGGGGGAGAGGCAGGCAACTAGAACTTCGCCACAGCACCACCTGAGTCCGCCGAATCCTCGACCACGACAACCGACGAGAGGGGAGTTACGTGAGACACACCAGACGGAGCAAGACGATGAGGGAGGGGAGCAGGGGCTCCCGGGGGAGTGGGAACCAGAAACAGAGGTAGGGGATTTAGGAGACCTTGGTGAGGAAAGCGACAGTAAAAGGAAAATGGCTCGTTGAAAGTGACGTCACATGAAGGAAGCGGTGAGATGGCTGGTGGTAAAAGTGCGAGTCAGACGAGTCAAGGGGGAAGCCAAGGAAGACACGGGGGTTAGTGCGGGCAGTGAACTTGTACGTGCCAGAGGCATGAACGTGAGCAAGGCATCCCCAGATGTGGAACGCGGACGCGTCACCTGGAGACCTGGTCCAGAGGAGGGTCGGTGAAACCTGCGGCCGCTGGGAGTGGGGCGTCGACCCTAAACCCTAAACCCACCGCCACCCCCCATCCCCCCACCACACCCCCCTTTGGGGCGGCGACCCTTACCCGGACGCTTCTGTGCTGAGGCCGCAGAAGCGGTCTTAGCAACAGCAGCAGTGACGTCAGAGAAAGAGAGAGAGAGAGGTGGAAAGATAGATAGATGGATAGAGAGAGAGAGAGAGAGAGAAAGAGAGAGAGAGAGAGAGAGAGAGAGAGAGAGAGAGAGAGAGAGAGAGAGAGAGAGAGGGGGGGGAGAAGAGAGAGAGAGAGAGAGAGAGAGAGAGAGAGAGAGAGAGAGAGAGAGAGAGAGAGAGAGAGAGAGAAGGAGAGAGAGCGTTGAAGCAAAATGAACAGAAGCAACAAAAGAGAAGCCAGACAAATGAGCAAAGAAACGATTGAGAGCAAAACCGAGGACAGTAAAAGCTAAAGAGCAGGAAGGAAGGAAGCTGAAATATGTTCTTGCTTTTTAGAAAGGTTCTCATTGGCTACGATGTGCGGCATTCGGGGATTTATTCAGCGAGGATTTCGTACAAAAGTGGCCATTTAAACAGCGGAGTGCCTCTTTGACAGTAGCAACTCTACAGGGTTTCAGAAAATTGCAACTAACTGGAAAACGAGAGTGTAGCACCTAGGTATTCTTAAGATGCAAGCTTATTCATAAACTCGGCGGACAACTCAAGTGGCGGGGCAGAGAGAGAGAGAGAGAGTCTTACAAGTACTATGAATTTGATAAACGTGTTGGAGCGAAACTTGAAAAAAACCCGAGGGTACGAGAAAATGACCAGCCATGTTAGAATGGCTTGCAAGACCAAACAGGGCCACGCGATGCAAGACCTACTGAACCTGCTCTAGGAATTGTCTGGTTACGGAGTTAGGAGGGAGACTACATTAGGAGCATAAGGAGTGATTGGAAAGGAGAAGCATGAGGAAGGAAAAAGGAATCGAAACCCTAGGAGGGGCCGCAAAGTCCATTAACACTCAGAATCTGCTATCCGAGAGGTTCCATGTTCAACACTTGGAAGAGACATTCTGAGCGTTTTTCTTCTCGATTCAAGTACCTTCTTTACTAGCTTTCCTGGACGAATACAAGAAAAGAGTACAGCATATGTCCACTAAGAATGATGATATGAGAAACACCACACCTAAAGATACAAGAAATATTCCCTGGATTTTGTTCTCGTTTCTTATTGTGCAAGAACCATTATCATAGCTGAAAATTGCACACTTAATAATAATTGCGCGTTAGTAGTAAAAATCCTCCGAGGAAAGTAAAATGATGTTAAAAGAAACCAATGTAGACCATTGCATGTATATAAAGTGATGTGATGTACACCAATAATAAGTAGAAGTGGACCATGCGTTTAGGGTGGCCAGGATCTGGAGTTGGTGGAGCCACGAGTAAAAGTCAGCGGAAGACTTTACACCTTGTATTGGAAATGTCCAAAATGACAAGGATAATAATAATGACTAATACTGGTCAGTTTATAGTCTAGGAAGTACCTAATCGGAATACACCAAGTCTGATGTACTTGCTGGATAACGCAAAACCCTCCTAGCTGTCGACCAGTGCTGTGGTCGGTGTCTGCTGGTGGCCACAAAGCGAGCCAGGATGCTGAGAGGGTATGCGAGATCTGGACGAGTGCAAGTCATCAGGTACATGAGGCAACCCACCAGCTCTGCGTAGGGACCACTAGGCTCTACAGCCTCCTTTGGGACTTGAGCAGCGAGTTTGTGGTCTACTGGTAGAAGGGTGGGCTGTGCTGAAGAGAACTGGAGGCCGAAACCTCTGAAGGACCTGGCGCACCAAGTGTGACTGCGAGAGAGTGATGGTGCACACTGCTCTGTCCCTGGAGATCTCCTAGGTAGCGGCGCAGCTCTCCTAGGTCTGTGCAAGTATGTCTCCTCAGCAGCTCATCCTTCACGGAGGCAGCTCACTCACGGGGCGCCTGTCGCAAGCCGTAGACAGGGCACCGGAGGAGCCACTAGGTAACAGGGGGAAAGGTACCGGAGAAGCCCTGGGGGCGGCGCAGATAGACCTGTTTGTGTAGACTGCCCTGGAGGAAAGCTGTAGAGAAGTCAAGGGAGTGGAGCCCGTAGTCACGCTCTGCTGCTATGTGTAGCAGTTCCTGAAGAGTAGTCATCTTTGGGGTCGGGGCGAAGGTCTGAAAGAAGTCCACCCCCTCACGATGACTGAAGCCTCGAGCAACGTAGCGCGCCTTGAAGATAGGCGGCTCTCCAGGAGGGTGCTTCATCTTGAAAAGCCACCGGCCATCGACTACGTTCACCCCAGGTGGGGAAACTACGTCGACAAAGGTACCGAAGGATCTCCAAGATGCCATCTTCTGCTCCATGGCAGTTATCCACTGAGAGGCCCAGGGTCTCGAGGTGGCCTCAGCGTAGGTGCCAGGGGTCGGGATGTCAAGTTCGTCTTGGTCACCCTCAGGGACTAGTAACATTAAACAGAGATGAAAAACGGCCTTAGACAGGAAAGCGAGCTCGTACTGCCTGTCCTCTAGGATGTCATTGCCAAGGGCAGCCACTCCCCCGACGGGCGGAGGGCAGGCAAGGTCAGAGACTAGAGCTGTGGCGTAGTCCAGGCGGCGGGTAGCGGCGAAGTCAGCTACAGCAGTGACAGGAGCCGAAGTCAGCAACACAGGGAGACCTCGGTGCACACGCAGAGACAAGCCACGAGATAAGAACGTCAAGCACGTCAGCCTTCCGCTCCAAGGGAACCACCGTGGGGTGGCGTGTGTACTCATCGACAAGCACTAGGAAGAAGCGCTCGCGACGCGGCCCATGGACGGGGGCAGGGCCCCAGACGTCCATGTGCAGGGTCTGCAGCAGTGCGGCGGTGGGGGGGAACGAGGAGGAGTGAGGGGCATGGCGGAGTCGGCCCTCGACGCAGGGCGTGCACGGCAGCGCTGGTGAGGAGGGGAGCACAGGGAACGATTCAGAGAGACCTAAGACAAGACCGTGCTGGAACATATGACGGAGACGGGTGAGGGCGGGGTGACCTAGACGGTGGTGCCACAGAAGCGACGGGTGAGTAAGCGACCGACACAAGCAAGCCGCAGCAACCTGGGTAGACATAGACACCTGGGGAGGCGTCCCAACAGGGGGGGGGGTGGTGTCCAGCGTGAACAGGCCAGACACCAGGTTCCGGTGGAACGTGGTGAGGGGAGCACTAGTGGCGGCCTCGGTACAGACAGCGTATCGCTCGTGACCAGGGAACGTAGTGGTGACACCAAGGTCCTGGAGGCAGCCGACACCAACTAAGTTCCTAGAGAATGAGGGGATGTGCTGGCCTGTAAGGGAGCCCGAGGGAACCGCCGGACCGGAAGGTTGGTGGAGCTACGGGCGACTACACCCGACGAGAGGAAGGGTCTGCAAGAGCAACTGCAGCGGGAGCAGCAAGCAGCATAAGCGTAGTGCACTCCCGAAAGAAACACCGGGAAGAGTCAGAGTCCAGGGTGAAGGAGAGCATGGCAATGGCTGCACGGGTTGGAGGTGCGAGGGAGGACCCAAGGCTAAGCAAGGCAAGGGATCCTACGCCTGACGCACCAGGGGAGCCTGAACTAGGCACACTGGGCACAACTACACTAGGCAACACAGGATAATAGGAACCAATCACAATAAAGTCATCGACATACAGCACATACAAAGCAGAGCTAATCTCATCCATGTCCATATCAAAGATCCTAACACCATGACGGAGCAGATTGTGCCAGTCGAGGAGGTCTGGCGCCGGGCCCAAGCGGAGACGAAACATGTCGTCTAGGCGATTGAAGCAACGAGTGGGGGTATGGCCGATCTTACTGCACACGAGGCCGCGGCGAGGACCTGTCTGGAGCTGGTACTGGCAGTGCCCGTCACTTGGACCATCACCCAATGTCACGCCGCGCGCACGACCACTGCGACCACCTCCACTACCTTCTCCAGGCCACCCGGGTGGTAGACGACCGACCTGCTGCTGCTGCTGCTGCTGATGCTGCGACTGCTGCTGCTGCTGCTGCTGCTGCTGGTCCAACGGCAGCACCTGCTGCTGCTGCTGGGGTTGCTGCTCCGAGGCACCAGCCCCAGCCCCCTCGTCACTACAACCAGTGGGCGAACCACCTCCACCACCGCCCCTACCCCCTCCTCCACTACCTCCGCCGGGCCAAGCCTTGGGGCGGCGACCCTTACCCGGACGAAACTGCGCTGCTGCAGCCGCGGCAGCTGTCTCCGCAGCAGGGGCTGTCTCAGCGACAGAAGCAGAACCAACAGAGTAAGAGCGGGGGCACAGCCCTGAAAGATAGTGACTGTTATGGTACCGCTAGACTGGGCGATAGAGCGCTGATTAGTCTCTATGGCAGACAGGGTGTCGACAAAGTCAGTGAGAGTGAGGTCAGCGGGGTGGAGACTAAGGAAGTGATTACGGGCTGTAGCATGGCGGTAAGGGAGGCAAGTGGCAAGCAGATAGAGGGAAGAGCAGATGGGGGGCTGAAACACACGAAGCTGGGCCTCAGTGCAAGAAGCGCGCCAGGTCGCGTCTAGGGTGCGCAAGTGGGCGGCCAGGTCAGCGACAGTAGGAAATGACACGAGATCAGGAAATAGGATAGGCAAGATCAGGCGACCGACAGAGGCAAAGGGCAGGGTGGAATAGTGCACAACAACAGCCTCTAGGAACTCCTGCGTAGTCTGGACCGACCTAAAGTGGGGGCACTCAGACAAGGGGAGGGCATGACTAATCGCGAGCTGTGCGACAGCGTCACGCGACAACCAGACAGCACGAGCAAGGGCAGAAGTGGCAACGGACTCACTGTCAGTAGACGTGGGGTCAGCGGGTAGAGCAGGAGGGGGGTCAGGGCAGGGGAGCGTACCGTCGATATGGACGGCCAGGGAGTGGCCGTCCTGCCGCTGACTATTGAGGTGGCGGCGGAGATCAACGAGCTATGTGTCGAACTCAACCGGCTGACCCTCCGCATCAAAGCGCAGGACCGAGTCCGCCATCATGGTCGACGCAGCAGCAGAAAGGTGGTACTGGGCTGTACTTAGCGACAGAGTGCGGCGGGAAGGAGTGCTGTGCGGTGCGGTGCAGTGCGGTGAAGTACGGTGCAGGGTGGTGCATTGCGGTGCAGGGCAGTGCAGTGCAGTGGAAAGGGCCGATGGAGCGAGGTGGGAGCTGCGGGGGCAGCTGATCAGCAGGGGCCCCATGGCGGCTAGGAGACCGTGGGCCGCGTAGCAGCAAAGCGACGGTGGCCGGCTACGCAACGGGGCCGGCTAGGCTACGGGGCCGACAGGGCAACGGGGCCGGCTAGGCGACGAGGCAGGGGCTGCCTTGCTCACGTCCGTGCCTCTGGCATGGACAAGCTCATTGCCCGCACTGTCCCCTGTGTCTTCCTTGGTTTCCCCCTGGACTCGTCTGACTGGCTTTTCTACCACCCGTAGTCTCACCG